TGTTGTCTCCAAGATATCACTCCATGCCCTGGCAGCACTGTTAATGGCATCTTTCAGATTCAATGACTTACACAAACAATGTCGTTCTCTTCTGTCAACAACAATTAGCAATGCTTTTCTGTAGTTCTTTTGGGAAGCCTGAAAAGCAGACAACCAGTAGCTACATAATGGAAGTTGCATTAGGAGGCAAGAATGTGGCAAAAATCTGGTTAACTGTTGTCGGCTGACCCTCTTGTGTGAAGAAGTGTTGTTTGGCAGCAAAATCACCTTTTCTTTCGGTTCTAAAAATGGCCATGAACAGCTGGTATAAACTGTGTGCAGAATGGATTCTGGTGGGCTTAGGGGACTGGTAATGGGATAAGAGACCTTTCACCTTTAGGTCAGTAGTTCAAATTCAGCCCAGGTTAGCAGCAATTGAAAGTCTTTACCATCTGACACTGTTCGTTAGCCTATTTAAAATGACTGAAGCAAAGTGTCACAGTAAAACAAGATTCCAGTATTAAGAAATATGAAGAGTCTCAGCAAACAGCAGAAACAGTTGCTTGAGACTTTACTTTGCAATCCCACCATTCAGACTTTGTAGAAATCTACTCCTCTAACTCCTGACAACCCCTTTCACTGCTCCCATGCTCCTGCCCACCTATCAATTCATCCTCCAGGCAGTTACACACACCAAGACAACAAAACCACCTCTTGCCATCCCATGGGTCTGCTACGGATACCAAAGTCACCACCTCTCTGTGGTTTTAGCTGGCAACCCAGACTCAGCTCATCACTTTGCTATTTATATTTTATTGCTACTGTTTACATAGTGGAGCTGCAATTTTTTCCAGCACTTCTCTCCTTCACTGAGCAAACGTGTAGCAGGTGCTGCCTAATGATGTGCAACCGAACACAGACACCATTAAGAGACTGTTAGAACCAGCAGTTTTTAAGCAGTGGAGGTCCAGACAACCACCAACAGGAGTTCTACATACTTCTAGACATTTCACAACTAGGTTTTTTATACTTTCATGAGTGGACAAACAGTAGAAAAGCCAGATAGAGACATGTTGCATGTAAAAATTCTTCCTCTGTCTTTTATACAAGAGCCAGTTTTGTAGAAAGACAAAGGTCTGGAATACATCATTTTCCAGAGGTCAGTAAAATCTGATTAAAACATGTAAGGAGATGAACAAAAATCTCAACACTGAGTAATGTTTTATGGGTGTATGGAAGTTTATTTACATTCATCTTATACCTTAGAATCAAGTTACTTTAAAAGAACTTGAAAACATTTACATAAAACAAATACTCTCTCTCCAATTATCTGTAAAATAAAAGCTTACAGATAGGCCATTCGCTTCCAATAAGTCTCTTACAAACACGCCAAAGTTAACTTTTAATCCCTAAAAAAGTTATGACAAAAATAATCAAACTCTCACATGGGGAGAAAAGACACTGCTACTCAAATTACCACATTTCTAAACTCCACTGTGCTGAATCCAGTCTATACAAATGATATTTTCAATAAGATTTCAATCTAAGCGAATTTGGTCATGTTTTGTGGAGGAAGAGAAATCTCATTCGTTATTTAAATTGCACAATGTGTGGAAGAGGCAGAAGGTTGGGAGCAGACCTGAGACAGAGGTACAAACCTCATTCAGAGCAAGTGCTCTCTTCACACTGCTCATTGCACTTTTCTCAGTTCTCCTCAAGCCAGTGAGAGACATTTCTCATTTCAAGGTACTACAAACTTCTAGAATATATCTTCCCTTTGCTGTCACCTATTGATTCACATGTAAGAAGCTTAGCCACACCACACACCCATCTATTAACAGATACTCATTTATTTACAGGCTGTAGACTCTCTCCCTATAAAGCCAAAGAACAACATTTCTAATCTTCCAGTGAAAAGCAGACAAAATTTTTCTGGTGAAAGCCAACATTTCTGATGTTAGTATGATAAGGAGATTTTTGACACAGTTTGAAAGTCAGAAAGGCTATCAGCCTAAGGGGTCAGAAACTTTTTCTTTATTTCAAAGCTCTTGTTTGGCTATTTTGGACTATGACTGCCTTTGATTAGGTTGATGACAACTAGGTAACACCAAAGCACACTGCAGCGTGAACAGCTATAAAGAATCAGATATTAAACATCCTGTCTGCCTCCACAATCCTAACAGTGGAAGGCTACCTGAAAACTCTTCCAGAAGTGCCCTAAATGACAACATACAGAAGTTCTCTTGTAGCCACTAGGCCAGCCATTTCTACGTTTTCTTGTGAAAAGCAAGAATAACTAGCTTTGCCATGTAATTATCCAGTCTCTTGTCTCATACTTCTCAGCTAGCCTCTGAAAGATGGCAGTGCAGCAGATACAACAAAAAGTATTGCCAATAACAAAGAATAAATCATCCTAGCTGAATCACCTGGAGGGAGTGAAACATCTGTAACAGATTTGTGTAGCATACAAGAGCCACAAAGGAGCTGATTCACCAACTTTTTTCACTTTTCAACCTCATATTATATTGCAGCAACACTTGAAACAAAAATTAAATAAAATATAAGCTTCCCTATAAGGTGTTACTCATACTTCTTTGCAGACCTGTATAGCAGAAAAGGTATATCCCCAAAGAGGTCCCCAAAGAGACAACCAACTAATACAACTCTCAATTACTGCAAAATAATTCATAAAACACACTGAAGATATCTGACAGATACACCAAAGAGGGAGGGGGAAAATCAGCCAGCAAAGTATTGGACATAGTTCAATTAGCTTTACACAAGCGCATTCTGAAGTCTGTACCTAAATTTGAAAGGCTTCAGTGATCTGATTAGAGATTGCTGAATTGTTAAAACAGACACAGGAAATTCCATAATTTAGCAGACACATTCTGATTATGCTGACAGGTAGCTGTGTCTGTAACAAAGACCTTTAGGAGCATCATTTATGGATCAGTTGTCGATCATTTAGGCAAGTTCTTCCAGCTGTAGAGCATTCAGCAAAAACTGGGCAAGTGAGCCTGTTAACCACTGTTCACAGTTAGGAGTTGCAAAAGGAAAAGGCTAAAGCAACACAGGGACATCTAGAGACTCCCCTGGTTCTTAAATTAAATCTGGACAAGCTTCATTACAGTTTCTATGCTTGGCTCTTAATAAAAGTGAGCAAGAACAAGATGTTAGTTGTGTAACCATGAGCTGAACAGAAAGTAAAGCTTGAGACCTGGGAGAAGTGACAGATCAACCGGGTAAGCCTGGGGAAGAATCAGAGAAAATTAGTACGCTCCGGCCTCAAGCTGAAAGGCTAGAGACAATACACAGTCAGGATAGAAGAATTAGAGAATATCTACACAAGTATTGTAATTTAAGATTAGTAAATTTCTTTAAGAGTTGGAAAGAATGAATCTGCTATTATAGGGGATTGTCAAACAGCTTGGGCTATATTTCAGAAGGAGTCTTTAAAGTCCTTAAAGATGGAATTGTGAAAGCTTTCTTACTGCTTATGTGGAGACCTCCACAATTAAAGAGGTTTGGGACTTCCAACACATGCATTGTGAGGGGAAGACACCACAATGCAAAGACAACATCTTAAAAACAAATTGCAACAAGAATCAAGTCCAAGGATACTCCATTGCTAACTCCATTCAGGAATTGATGGACAATAATATACTACAGCAAGAAGGTGATTTTGAATTTTCGGTAGGTTATGTAGAAAACCATAAATTTTCTTCTACATAAACAAGAACACGGAGGGTCACTAAAAAGCATTCCCTCAAGATTGGCAAAAGTATAAAGAATATGACCAAAGAGAAAAAAATCTTCATAATATTTTAATAAGCTATACATTGCCATTAATCACCGCCCTCTAACTGACTTCTAAGGTAGACCAGATTGTGCCTAGCAAGCTTGTAGCAAAAGCACGTGAAGTACAACTGTCATGACTAACTGCAAAAACACTGCTGCCCTGCAAGGCAAGGTGAATTTTACCAGCCGTCTTCCCTTAGTACAGGGGAAGATTGCAACACCCCCATTCCTCCCTCGCACCCCAAGTCCTCTCTCACTGCTTCACCCAAAGCATAAATTTACTTAGTAGTTATACAAAGTCATGCAAAAATGTCAGAATTACAAGATCTCTTTATGCTCCATCACTGCCTACATGTACAAGCAGCAGGCAGGACACAGCCCTAATGAAATGTACCTAAAACAGAGTCAGTAGCTAATCACTATTGATTGATTCCACACTTCAATCTTCCTGGAATCATTTAACAAAGTGAGAAAAGGAGGATAAAGATGACGGTATTTACCTGCTTACAAGTTGAACTTTCTTCTCAGCTTTGAGAATGATATTCAGACTTTAAGTTATGTGCCTGTTTTCTTATATTATGACCAGAAATGCATTATAACAGTCAAATAACAGGTAGAGGAGCTTTTCCTTAAAACACTGTCCATTCATTTGCAGTTTACATTACAACATCTATTATTGACTACGTGAGTTGTTATAAAAATCCTACACCATGTCAGCCTGCTTTTTACACTGTCAGATTCCAGTCACAATTTCAATTATATGCAGATTGCTAGTGGGTTTATCACTGATATACACATAGTGTTAACTACCCTCCTAGAGAAACTCAGCAAGCGATCATCAAAGTACAAAAAATAAAAAAAAACTTCAGGGATCAGTGTGGAAAAGCATCAGAGCACAGTGGCTAGCCACTTACTGGGAACTCATGGTGGCACTTAACACTGACCTCTTGCAAGGTCTTTAGGTCAAGTGTAACAAAGAGCAAAAGCTCCGAATGCTTACTTGAGTGCTGTGCAAGGGCTCACTGCTGCAAAGTCTTGTATGTGTAGGCTTATTTAAGTGAGCAGATCTTTTAAGTTCAGTGGGAAGTTTTCACGCGCGTCAAGTTAGTTATGTGTATGTCTTTGCAGGAGCAGACCCCTAAGTATGGAAAGAGGTTATATTCTGTTTTTTTAAATAACATTTTCTGAATGTTATTCATTAGCAGAGCCGTTTTTCTTACCTGAAGTCTAGTATTCATTTCCAAGAAGTAGAAATTCTTACTGGAGTCCACAAGGAATTCTACTGTTCCAGCAGAAGAATATTTTACTGCTTTGGCAAGAGCTACTGCTTGTTCTCCCATTGCTCTTCGAGTTTCAGGGTCTAGAAAAGTACTACAATACAGAAACAGTGCCTTTCTTTAGGTAACAAAAATGAATACTTAAATCATTTCATCTTCTGCTTAAACTACTGCCAAAAGAGGACAGCATTATTTAAGTTACGAAAACACGTCAAGACTGTCAAATGTATGCCTTTACATTTTTATTGCTCTGAAACAGATATGCTGCATGCTTCGCAGCTACTGCTAACATACAGGAAATTCAGGATAAACAACAGTATTCTGTAAAATATAAAACAGAACAACTTTTTTAGAACACTGAGATCCATAATAAAGCAAGTTAAATGTAAATAAATACATACAAATCCATGACATTTTTAGAAGGTATGTCCATTTGCAAAAAAGCTAACTAAAAAATCCATCCAATGGAAATATGAACACCAAAACACAAGACAGGAGGTCTAAGGGGAATTTGTTTTCTGACTCTGAATTAAAACAGCATGGCCATTTCATTGATATTCTATGCAATAAAGAAGCTTTGGAAATTAATTAATTCTTTGTTCTGGCTTCTTATCTGAGATTGCAAAGAAAAAAATTTGGGCATTCATAGGATTTAACTAAAGTATCATCAACAATATAGTGACTTAAACTTTCATATCCAGTATTTCCTCTCAGCTTTACTTGTAAGTTCAAGACTAGTTATCTGTGTTAATTGTAATTCATTCCTTTCCAGAAATCCTGGACACATTCAAGGGCACCCAAAGAGCAGCTCAGGTACCACCTTGGGACCCACTGTGAATACTGCCTGAATACCAAGCCTTCTCTTTCTAGGAGAGCAACATGCCACTCCAACTGGTCCAGTAAACTGAAAGACTCAAAGGTATATATTCTGCTTGTTACACTCCTCCATACTGCAAATTTAGATTTAGATTAACCTATGCAGATTTTCAATTTAGAGCTTAAGAAATTTCTGTGGCTTTCCATCAAACCTGTGAAACTGGTTGCCCCTCACCCTGACACACTGACCTTCAGTGAAAGACAACACGTAGCTCTTCATCTTATACAAGCTTATAAACACACTTATACTTCTGTGCTCACTTACGTTAGGTACATAACTCAGCAATCACTTTAAAAGTACTTTTTTAAGGGCATAAGAAGTCATTTCTACCCTACCCTTAAGTTACCATTCAAAACAAAAATACCAAATGTTACGTATTTCTTGAAGTGTCCTCAACAGTGGGTTCTAATTCTGCAAAGGAGCAATCAGGAACCTCCACATATCTCAAGTGGCCACATCAAAGCCAGTGAAGCTCCATCTGGGGCGTAGGAGTGCACTCAGACGGAAGCCAGCGCTGGGTCAGGACTTTCAGTACTTACTACGGGGTTTTTCACCAAGACCTGAGCTCACAGAAGAGCTAGAGATTTCTGCCACAACAAACCATATAACATCACACAAAAAGTGATTAAGTATCTAGGCAAACTGGAAGACAATGGAATCCTCTTCTTCATAGGAAAAGTGCTACTTAGCACTTCTGTCCTTCCAGTGCCCACATGGGCAGATTCTGATGAACAGTAGGGCAAGCATTTTCAGAATTCAGGAAAAAAATTTCTTTCTTGGCAAACAAGGAGATCAACAGGAAAAGGAAGTCAAGTCTGATCCCAAGAAAGTTATCAGATCCTACAAAAGATCAAAGTAAAAAACAGAAGATGTGCAAAACTGTCATACCCATCAAAAATAGGCACTGGTAATGTAAAAGAGTTTCTTTTTTTTTCCAATTCAAAAAAAGGATAATACATTACACAAAATCAACAATCTATAATTCAGTTTGGGGTTTCTGCAGGGCTTTGATCATGAAAGGTCAATGACTGGCTTATGAAGAACAGAACCTTTTCAATATTGGCTTCATACTTTATTTCTAGAATAACCATTATTACTTCTCATATAGATGAAAGACAGTTACTCCCCCTTATTACAGTGGTGTCTTCCCTACATTTGTTAAATGTAGGTCTGAGATCTCTGTTCACCTCCTGCTGTAGCCAAAGAATGGAACAGAGGTGTCATACTGCTAAACTTGATCTCTGACACGTGGTTAAGCTTAATGGTCTAAAATGACTGGATCATCCCTGTAATTAGCTAGGTTAATTAACCAAAGTTTTCCTATTCCCCTCTGCTGCTTTACCTTTTGCAAACATTGTTTCTCCCTTTAACAATGCACCTTTTACAACTGAAATAACTCTTCTCCAATCTAATTAGGCATCACTTGAAAACACAGCATTTTAAACCTGACTTCAAATCTTTTTCTCACACATATACCTGTTATTCTTTCAACCAAATAGCTCCTATGGCAGCATGAAGGCTGCAAAATAAAAAGGATTCAGAAGATAAAAGCACCAAAAAGAAAAAAATAAGATCAGATCTGTCATTTCACTTGTAAGACCTTCTTCAAGCTATTGTAAAGTTGATCAAAGACAATACAGTTGGTTTGTTCCATTGTTTCTACATCCAGAGAGATGACCACATGGGCAAGATGTTACCTCTCCACTTCTAGTTCACCAGATAATGTTTCCCAAAATATCTCCATCACCTTCACTCACAGATAAGGTGGAGATTTTGAAAAGCTATACTGTCAATGGAAATTTACTGCTCAGCTTAGACAAAAAAAAAAAACCCACAACAAAACACACAACACATCAATAACATTTACCCTTCCTCTGAAGATACCACTACACTGGGAGAGAATAGTACCTTAATTTTCTAAATGTCAAGGTCAGCTTACCTGCTTTTAGCAAACAGTTAGGCATACTGTTTGTTTAGAAAAATTACTTACCAATAAAAACCATTCTCCTTTGAGGTATCTGTTAGGTACTACCACAACGCAGGAATAAATATGCTGAAGTATTTCAGAACACAGTTTTGCCCTCACATCTAAACTGTGCCCACCTATGAATTATGCACAGAGTCATAAACAGAACAGGCTCACTGTTTCTCTTAACCCCAAATCATTCAAGGACTTCCAGACAGAGATATAAGAAACATGGAGTCTAATATACATACAGACAGCACAACTTCAAGAACTTGTACATAGAATCTAGTTCAATAACATTACCTTCCTGCTAAGTTCTTGCCTACACACATTCATTCAAATTGTCAGTGGCTTCAAGAAGCAGCTTGGTAGCTAATCTGGAATATGATCCTGAAGTACTTGGCATCATACTGAGATCTTCCAAGAGAGAGTTTAGGGCTTGGAGAAAGTGAAAGAAGTTGCTGTCTGTGCACGTTCCAACAACAGAAACATTCCTGTGAGGAGCTAACAGTGAAGCATGCAAAAAAGGTCACAAAAACAGTTTAACTATTTCCCTTGCATTCTAATGTGGTCACTTACTGGTAAAATAGCCTCCCTTTTAAATCTCCTGCCTCTTAGATCCTTCTGTCACAGGCAGATATAGAAAGAAACATTTTTGTCCTTTGAACTAAACTGAAAGAACGTTTTTCAATTTAAAAAGACACTGCAAAGCTAACATCTAGAATAGATAAACTAATATCAACTCTGAATGCATGCAGCTAGAAAGAAAAAAACATAATAAACACTATTTCCTGACTGAGATGAAACTCGGGGAAATTCTGGGAAATTGTTGAGAGACTGTCGTAAGAATCACCTTATTCTGAAAGCCTTGGATGCCAAGGTTTAACCAAAAGGACATGGAATCACTGGAAAAAAGCAGAGACAACAAAGGAGAATAAGCAGGAAGCAAGTTTTAAGGACTTGCTCACTGTGGATGCTAACATGGATCTTGCATGGTAGTACAGAATACAATGGCAGGGTGCTGCTCCAGCATTACTTGTCCAGGAAAGGCCTGAAAATTTAGAGAGAAGGTTTAATATCCAGTGTCCTGAAGCTCAGCATTCTGAGATATGATAAATAGAGATTGTATCTCAAATACTGTGTTCAAGTTTTGAGCCCCTCACTACAAGAAAGACATGGAGGTGCTGGAGCATGTCCAAAGAGCAACAAAAACTGGTGAAGGGTCTGGAGCACAAGTCTTATGAGGAGCAGCTGAGGGAACTGGGGTTTAGTCTAGAGAAAATGAGGCTTAGTGGAAACTTTATCACTCTCTACAACTACCTGAAAGGTAGACATATTGCTTAGGGACATGGTTTAGTGGTGGACTTGGCAGCGTTAGATTTACAGTTAGACCTGATTATCTTAAGGGTCTTTCCAACCTAAAAGATTCTATAATTCTAAATGGTATTCTATGTAGGAGAGTGTTTCATCTCGATAGCACTGGATGATCATGGTGAGTAGAAGGACCTTTGCATGGCACTTCTCCGTAACAACATTCCAAGATCTTAACTTTGGGAATCAAATAGTACAGATAGCCAAGTGCCTTCATCCAAGTGGTGATGCAAAAGTTAAAGTGCTTTAAAAAACTTTTAACAGGTTCTGAAATTGTGAGATAGGGAGATGAAACTGAAGTTTAAGAGCACTCCTTTGAGCTTCAGTTATTGAATGGTAAGTCAGCTAAGACTCTTGTATATTTCCTTTCCATTGATCTCTAACATTAGATTGATTCTCAAGGATCAGTTGATTTTGATAACCTTATGGGCCTTGTTTCTCCACATGGAGAAGAATCTCTTATTAACCACTCCAGCAGACAGGAAAATAAAAACACACCCTCACATTTTTTCTTGCCAAAGTACACTGTCTCATAGCAACTGTCCCTGAAAACAAACAGAGAAGAGTTTGGGCAGAGGAAGAACAAAAACTGAATTAAGGAACAACAGACTATTAAATGTTACTCATCTGTTTAAATTTCAGCCTCTGTGGCGAAATGAGAAGCCAACAGCATCTCTCACAGATGTGCGAAGCCAGAAGCAAAGAAACTGTAAATCACTTGGAGGTTTGACATATAGCACTAAGATTGCCCAGCACTAACTAAAAAATAGGTGATGATCAGAGGTGTCTTATTGCATGTGCTTCCCAGAACAGAGAGTAGGGCAACTGATTATGTTAAAAGCGTATGAGCAAAATTTGTTGGTCTCCTGTTTGAAACTAGAGGATTGACCAACTGCGAACATCAGAGCTCCCTTGAATACTGTAATCCAATCAGAGCTTTCTCTCCTTAAAAGATAGAAATTTTTTACAAAAAAACTGAACTTCCCAAGAAAAACTGGAGATTCAAACACAAAATGATCCTGTAAGGATAAGTTCAACAGCTGCAGGCTTAGCTTTAAGAAAATCATAGAGATTATTCTCAAAGCCAAAAAGCCCTCAACAATCAGTCTCTTAAACTAGATACTCAGTATACTCAGGAAAACACCATCATAGGAAAAAAAGTAATTTTGCTGAGGCTTGAGAAGAGGCCAGAATCAAAAGCCCCAAATTGTAGAAAGGACAAATAAGCATCTTGGCCCATAGCATCCCTTTCTCATAGGCTTCATGAAAGGTTAAAAAAAAAAAGCAAGCTTCAACAAATCTGAGAACTGTTAATGGCAGCTACCATTTAAAATAGAAGAAAAAAAGGACTACTGAGGATTTCATGTTTCCTCTACCAGCTATACAAGAAAAGGTGTTTCCAGGAGTCATTAATCAGTAAGACTAACTGAAACAGCATTCACAGGAAGGGCTAACATCAGGCTTTAGGGTCTCTGTGGTGTCCCACAGAAGTTAGTGCCCTGTTTATCTGCAAGTCTTGTAACCCTTTGTAAATAAATGGATTCTGCAGCCAACTGCAAGTGTCTGTAAGGCTGTCAGCAAAAGTCTGGCAGAGTCTAAAACATTCAACAAGAAGGAAGAGTTTTCGTGCCAAATTTTGGAAGCTATTGACTTGTCCACACTATTTGTAGAGTTATAGGAGAGGATGAAAAAAAACTTACTGGCAACTCCAACAGAGAAGCCCAAGAAAGTTAAAAGGCTGGTATTTCTGATGAAGGAAAATACTCTGATCACAGCTGGCTGGTGAGAGAAAGACATCACTACCTTTAATTGACCACAGGCATGGAGAATGAGCAGGCAGTAGTGGCAGGCAGTGCCTTATTTGTACTCCTGAGGCAAAAGACTCTCTTAAGTACTCAGATACACACATGCACATTATATTGGGACCTGAACACTTCACATTTCACAAACAAAAACACAGTAAGATCTTTAGGCATAAATCTTCCAAGATATCTACAAGCACTACTGGGGCAGAACAAGAGCTACTTAAGCATTTATTAAATCTAAAGATACAAAACCACTAAACTTTGGGTTTTAATTCATAATGTACATCATAAACAGTGTCAGTGCCACAATTATGACCCAGCATTAACTTATACGCTGTCTCTAAATGAGCATCACTTGAATGTTGTGATTTTCCTCACATCCTAAATTGTTGCATCACATAGTTCTGTGCTATAAAATAATGGCAAATCCATCCCAGCTGGTGAACACATCACACTGAATTCCCATGGGAAGTGATATACCTATGTCTGGTTTTCTGAAAACAGAACTTCCTTCTGCCCTTTTTTCTACATATATTCTCTGATGAACACCATGCAATAGAAAGCACAGCAAGGCCAGACCTTGCACAGCAGCAATGTATTTCAGCTCCATTTGGAATCAGTGGGATTAAGATCATTTAGTACTTCTGAGCTACTGGACACCTATACCTACAGTTTATTACCATGAATGGTACTAAAGTGGCACAGAGCATTTAGTACTTCATGTTCAATTTCAAATAGAAATAACCAGTATTATCTGGCTCTCTCACAATTACTACAGCACAGTCAAATATCTGTATCTGTGGTAGTATGAATACTTATTCCATATTTTATTTTACACTCAAATCCTAAAGTTGAATGGCAAAGAAAAGGAAAAATCTCAGATATATTAAGAAAGCCATCTCATATACTACATACATTTAATTGGTAAGATCCATATACATTTTATACAAGATCATTAAAAATTAACATGATGTCTGTTTTCTTCTTACAGAAAGACATCATGAAGCAAGATCATAACACCCTCAAGTACAACATCAAAACTGCATTACAGTCAAATGACTAACTTCAACATTTATTTTCTTTGTAGTTTTTAATAGAATAAAATTTGCTTGCATCTGTATAATGAATAAAATCAGCAGCTTTCCAAAAGTGCTTTCAGTAACAATGAAGCTGCATCAAGAGTCTTGTATACATACCTCGGTGCTTCCTCCACAACTTTTTGGTTTCTCCTTTGAATGGAGCACTCTCTTTCATTCAACCACAAGGCATTACCGTGTTTATCTGCCAAAACCTGGAACAATAGCATGCTGCTATTAACAAACAGATGTATGCAAACAGCCTTTTGACATTATACTATTACATAGCATTGAGTTCAATTTTAATTTTTTTTTTTTTTCCAATCTGGAAACAAAGGTTAGGAAAAAATGCTAGTGTAGAAAATTAATTGTAATTGAATGCTGCTTCAACAGTACTATTTTAAAGCCTCTATATAGAGTGACAAAAAAACCACTCACTTCAAAATTTGTGAGAAACTCCCAAAAGTTCAGAAAGACTGAAATAAAATTAAAACTACATTTTTAAGCATTTAAAACTTTATTGCCTAATTAAATTACTCAGCATATTGTTAAGCAATATCCCGTGGCAACGAAGGAGAGAAAAATCTCAAAGGATGCCAAATTTTGCTCATAAATTACACATAAAAGTTTTCAGAAACAATGGCTAATGGAGCTTTCTTAGTAGGCAAACAACAGCATATATTTTCAATGAAGAAGATAAGTCTGCAGAAACTTTGCAATCTTTTATTAAAGAGAATAAAATTTGTTACTTCCTCAGTACTTTCAATGGAAATTAAAGCAGGAGTTGCAAGGAATTTCTGAAAAATCAGGTGGCAACTACAGTCTTTGCTGCAGCTTCAGTTCATGGAAGAGTTAAACTAAACATAAAGTATATAGATCCAACTACCTAAACTGCATGTTAGAAAAAACACAAGTTTGGCAAAACAGAACTCTCAATTGATTCTACAACTTCAAGGATTCAAGTAGACTTCTTCCAACCTTATGATGTTACACTCTACACTTATTCTTGGAACAATTTATTTCATTGCAGATCACACCTGCTCCCTTTCTTCCTTATAAAACTTTCCATCTAATCCATTTTTCTTCCATCTATCCTCCTGCTCCGATCTGCAGGAACCTGTGACAATATTCATGCTTCATTCTTTAATAGTGTAATTCTGCACTGAAAACTGACAAGGTAAAAAAAGAAGACAATCTTCCTCAAACTGCGTGAACTCAACCATATCTACTCACATTTGTGACAATGAATCTGTATTATTTATTATTCTTTTCAGTGTCACAGAGTGAATATGGCACTAAGTAAGATGAATTCCAGCATCTATGACACCAATGTTTGCTGATGTGTGAATAATCTCAATAGATGTGACTGAAAACGAGGCACTGATCTCATGAAGCAACTCACATGCACTGTGCAGCATCAGATCCAGAGTGCTCTGCACCCTGTAGGATCACACTTATCTTTTCCTTGCAAGTTCCATTATGGACCCATAGATTTCTGGGGTTTTCTAAGGGAAATTTTCCTCCAAGAAGTTCTGTAAGATCAGTTTTGGGAGTTCCTAAACTACAACCTGTCCCAAAACCCTCTTCCCTGTCCTACGGGAGGTTTAGCAGCAGCACCAGGGTACTCCAGCCAACTGCCAGATTCTCCAAGAGGCACTGCAGTAGGAAAACGAAAAACCACCACAACACACATCACAACAACAAAACAGCATCTAAAGCAACTTCCTACCCAAGTCCTAACTCATCCAACTCAGAACTAAACATGACAGAGCTCAAACTCATTTGGGAAGATAAAAGATTTTTTTAATTGTTTGTTTGGTTTTGGTTTGGGGTTTTTTTGTTGTTTAATTTTAAAGCAGTGCCTCTAGGGCATAGCATGATACTCAGATGGAAAAATCACTGTCCTGTAAGTAGAATCATTCCTCATAAGCACTTCTGTTTCATTGCTACAAAGCCTACAGCTTTCCACAGAATTCAGCCTCACCAAAACAAACTAAAAAGTCCTGGAATATTTCAGTAAAAATTAGTTCCTGTGTTTCTCTTCTCTCTCTGTATTTTCCTGAAGGGGATAAAATATTTTTCAAGCCAACTAGTAATTTCCTCCCCCCCCCCACTTCAGGACATTTCTTGTATCCTACTTAATTTCTGCAACCTGGATCTTAAAACAAATGCTTTTTCATTATCAACTAACATGGCTTAAAAAGAAACATGCACAAACATACACTATGAAAATGTAATCATAAATAGAATAACATCTAATGTGAGACTTTTACTTTCATTTTGGGCCCACTGTTTTCATTATCAGAACTAAAGAAGATAGAATATAGAATAATTATATTTCAGAAGATATTTACAAAATGTTGAAATCCACCTCTGAGATGATGTGAGATTCTAGCATACATCTCACTTAAAATACATGTCACAGCTACAGCTTTTTTTCTAAATATTCCTAAAAGAAAGTGTCCTGGTTTGTGGTAGGCACATCTACATGTCAGAATAATTAAATACAGTGTATTGCAACCTCTCCTACACAATTCAGCTAAATTCTGTTTCCAGTTGTAGGACTGCTATTAAGCCAAGTAATAGTCAGACATTCCATGTACTCTTACTTTAAACTCAGGTCCTTTATATCAGATATTTCAGGAGAACAAGACTTCAAATCAGTTCAAGCATAAAGTCTATTTGGACTCTATTTTCCTGTTAATTGTTTTAGTCTTTTCTCATGTTTTACAAAGTGATTGTTTTATAGCTAGACACAGGAAACCCCTTATTTAACAATTTTAAGTACTAATGCTTTGGAACTATATGAGAATGTTAAAAAAAGATCTATTTCAAAGTTACTGCTAAATTAATAAATACTTGGCATCTGGTCTCAAATTGTTTATATATTTAGCAGTTTGAAAATTAACCAAGGTCAACGTCCTAAAGCTGATTAGAACATGAAGTTAAAATGATATGCCATGATATTGTTAAAAGGTACCATCAAAGTGTTCTCTAAAGAAAACATTCATTGTACACTTACTATGAATAAAACTAAATTATTAATGGTAAAACTATTTTATTTAATCTAGGTGAAATTCTACTGATCTTAAATATTGTCCTGCCTAATTTTTTTTTTTTTTTAGGTAACCTTTTTTAAACCTAAAGGAATTAAGACAATGTAAAATATGGCCCCAACTCAAAGTACGGAGGAATCAATTTCATCTAACTTTATACATCAAAGTCAGTAGGAAGCTCCTGCAAGCACCAGAAGGAATAGATCATTAAAATATACTGATTTGCATACAAAAAAGAAAGAAACAGACATAGGTAGACAAAAATTATTAGCTATGACAAGAGAACATAGAAAGATGCTCTAACAACCTGACCACTTTTGCAACCTAAGATGAATGCTGAAACTAAGTGTTCACTATATACCTTTCCATGACCCTTCAGAAGATAATAGTTTGGGGTTTAAACTTCATTTTTACATACTGTTTCTTCATTTGACATATGCAATAAGTTAGACTGTGCACAGACAAGTTTTACATGGAAATCTAAAATAAATAAAAACATAGGAAGTATCAAGTTTGAGTGGCCGCATAACTAGCAGAGTAAAAAATGTTAAATATTTTTCTCTTACAAATCATTCTGCACTATCAAATTTATTGTTGTTGGTTCATTCAGTTATTGAGAGCTACTGTCAAAATACTTCAGGCTCTCACTGTAAAAGAAAACATGCCACAGCTTAGAAAGAGTTTATGTTTTGGACAAAAATAAATGAAGTTTCTATTGATGAAATAGAAATAATCCATATAGATTTCTTCTCAAAGATTATTGAAGGCTATTGACAAACCCAATTTAATTGCCTACAGAAGATCAAACACAATATAACTTTTAAAATTGTAACTTTGTTAAAGAGTCTGTCCAAAACAAACAAGTCTTGTTTTGCATTAACACATGTGGTTTAACACTAGATCCACTAAAAGACAGTCACAATCCAGAAATTAAGGAGAATACACCTGGTTTTGAACCACAAACTGCCCAAAAAAGGACACAAATCTTCCTGAGTTCCCACAGAGCATTAGATACTTCAGAACAAAATCAAAAATACTGACAAAACCACCTAGAGCTTGCAAGAAAAATGTTAAGCATGGCAGCACTTGAATTCCTACATCCTCTGCTGCGCTTAAGCACTGCAGTAAGGACCCAGAGTTCAAGCTCCAGCCCTCAGGACAGATGCCTACAACCTCCCACCCCCAGCGAATTGAGCATGGTTCATTGTCTTCCTGGCTAAAGAAAGACTAGAGAATAAAAACAGGAAGGCTGTATTGTGTATGATAGCCACAGTTTCAGCAATGGTCCAAGACACAGGAAAACACAAGACTCTAGGACTTATTTACTGCAGTGTTTGAAATGTTTTGAACTTAGATTAGTTTAGGAGTTCAAGTATTGTTAACTAAATAATAAGTAACAGTAATACAAACCTGGATTTCTATGTGACGAGGGTTATCAATGAACTTTTCTATCAGTAAGCGATCATCACCAAAACTTGAAGCAGCTTCTTGAGATGAAAACCTAAAACCCTCCCTTAAGTAATGGAAACAAAAAGAATAATCTGTATTTAAAAAGTTTCAAGTTCTGAAGTATACAAGGAGAAAGAACACTTATTCATTAGTCATGTGGCAGTTTTCACCAGTCACCACACATGTCCAAAACCAAGTTTTACCCTTTGCCTTTGATTCTTTCATGAGTATCCCTTTTTTCCTTCTTTTCTTATAAAGACAAAAAAAGTTACATTCTCAAAGGACAGAGAGTTTCAGAGTGTTTAAAACGTCTGGGCATTTACAACAATTATTTGTATTAATTTTATTTGTTGGCATTTTCTTCTGCATAAGTAGTAAAGTAATCCAATTTTAAAAAACATTAATTAAAATGTATTTGTTACACAGAAGTAAAGGTGAAGCTCACCATTAAGGTGCACAGCCCTCTTAATACTCAAGAATAGCAGAAGTTAGTTGCACATCAATTAGATAACTGCAGATATAATATTGCAATCTTGTAAATTCAATCACTGAACACACAACCTGAAGATACCACACTTCATACAGCATACCTGCTGTACTACTAGTTTTTCCCTGCATTAAAGGTTGTTATACCACACATTCCATATACTTCCCTCTTTTCTCTTTTACATATGTAATTAGTCAAACAAATTAAGACTGTAAGACACCATATTTATTTACTTTATTTTCCATGCAGATTACTCCTATGGGGCATAACCACTGAAACAACTTTATGTACAGCTTTCTCAGGGTGAAATGTACCATAATGTGGGGACCCAAAGGCTCCACATAAGTTTTCTACAGGCTTAGCAGTCCCATTCATGTAGATACACATGGGAAGTTTGGGGTAAATTTCTGTGGGATCGACTACTGAAATGCAGCAGCCCCGATATTTCTGTCCTGATTAAGAACTACGGCACAATTGAGTTGAAGTTTCCATGCTTTCCATCTCTTGACTGTAGTTCAATTGCACAAACAAAACCTGGACAAGAGAAATGTGAGACAGATAAATGTACAGTATTGAGATGCACAAGTTTAAAGGTATTTCTTCACTTTCTTTCAAGATTGTGGAATAATATACACTATAATTCTGAGATATTATATTCAGTGTACAATCTTTCCTAAATTAATTTTAACTTCAATATATTGAATTACTTAATAAAGAGAAAAAGGGACATTAAGATTTGTGATTCTGTTCAGATCACTACCTGATCTGTTCAAAAAAACAAAGTGAGGTAACAGTCATACACAGTGTTTGAGCTTACTGGAACAGATTTAGAGCTATTTTAACTCCTATATCAAAGGCTCTGATTCCTTTTGTAAACTTTTTATGCACAATTGACTATTTTTCCTTCACTGAAGTATGTGCTAATTAGAAATCTAAACTGCAATACTTGTTTAAAAAGTGCCCAATTATCTAATCCATACATCTGTAAATTTTTTAAATTATATATAACAGAAATTACTATCTCAGTCAGGTATTCTGACCTTGTTTGTATCTTACAAAGATGTGTAGCTGCATTTGCTCAGTAATAAAAGTTACTTCAGTGATAAACACACTTTACTTTCCTTAAAGAGATCATACTAAGCAAATGGAGATAGATCTGAGTCTCCAGAACCTTGAGTGTTTGTGTGTTTTTGTTACAGATTTTTTGGACTAAGTTGTTGGGGGGGGAGGTAGGGGTGGTTTTTTGGTTTGTTAGTGGTTTAGGAGGGAGGGTGATCCTGTTGATTTGGGGGTTTTTTAACAGGAAACTAATTCCCCAACACCTGTTGGAAGAGCAACAGAGAAGACCACAAGCAAGGTGGGAGGTTTCTTATGGATGCTGGGGACAAATTCTCAACACAGGCATTAGATTAGGTGAAAAAGAAGAATTCCCAGTAGCAAAAGAAGATGGAATCAAGAACCTCTTAAGAAATCAACCCATACAAGTCAGTAAAGACCAAATGAGATGCTAAGAAAGGTAGTTTAGGTCATTGTGAAACTGCTCTGTCATCTTTGAGAGCATTTAGAGGGCAGGAGAGATTCCTGAGGAAGGAGGAAGACAAACACTGCACCCATCTTTGAGAAAAGTATGAAAGAATCACAAGAATGACAAGCTGGTAAGCCTCACTTTAATTCCAATAAAGAGTTATGGAGCAAGATCTTCTGAAAGGTATTTCTAGATACATGAGAAATGCTGTCTGTTCTCAGGCACTATCGATAATATCATGCTTGATCAATCTACCTGTCTTTTATGACTGCACCCAGGAATTAGGGGAGAATATAGGAGAACAGTAGATATCTCCCGCAACTTTAGCAAGAGCCTAACAGTCTCCAAGACAGAATGTTACGGTCTACACAGGTACAGAACTAGATGGGTAAAAAACTGGTTAGATCACTGAGCTCTAACATAGCAGCTCATCCTCTAGTTGGAATTCAATACAAGGGAATCTCCCCAGGAATCCATTATTCTGGAACTAGTTTAACCTCTATCATTGACCTGGAATACACCACCCCCAGCCTGTGGGCCATACTAAGGCAGGATCATCAATATACTCAAGGGCAAGGCTGCATTTCAAGGGTATCTAGACAGTCTGCAGGAATGAGCTCACAAGCATCTTATGAGTTTCCACAAGAACAAACAGAGAGTCCAGTACCTAACACAGCCTCACCCTCCCTGCATCAGTACAGGCATTGGAACTGAAAAAACTATTGATCTTGCCACAAGTTTTTTTTGTGGTTGTCTGAAGTGAGACAGCCCATGCCAACCTTCTGCCTACAGCTCTCAAATCAACATTGCTGCTTTAATTAAAACCACCACTTTCTTTGGAGGCAGCCAGACACTAATAGAAAACTGCAGTCATTATGTAATATTTCAGTTTCCAATATTAAGGAAAAAGTAAAAGAAAATAGTGTTTTCTTGTCAAGGCCAGAATTAAAAAGGCCATCTAGTTAAAAACAGATGTTTGATAACCTTTAGTACAGTAGAATTCCTCTAAAACCATGACTGGTAGGTTAAATAACCAATAAATACTCAAGTGTTTGATTTTATACACAAAACCAATGTCCATTGCTTCAACTTGATCCCAAATTTAAAAAAAAAAAAAAAAAAAAAAACAAAACCACTAAAGTTACCTAGTCACAGCATTTTACATTAAGTTTACACACATAGCATGGAAATCTGTGTTAAAGAAAGTTTTTAGGAAACATTGTTCTTCACTCATCCAATTGACTCCTTCCCCTAATCTGAACACTTCCACAGCACATACCTGTGCAGGGCAGACCAAAGACACCAAATCCATACACTCCCATTTTTTCAGAGCAGTGGCAGGCCAAACACACTGCTTTGGGGAGGTAAGAAAACTCAATGTGCATGTTTGTAATAGGGAACACTTCAGTTTTTTTTAAAGCATTGTCCTCTCATACTGTACACTTCAGATTCTCTTTGACTCAGAAGGTATGGGATTCAGAATTATCTGTTACATATTTTTTCACTTTAGCTTCTTCCAGTTTCACTGCTCATTCCTTCAGAACCACTGGAAGATTACATCATCAGGAAAAAAACTTCAACAGATGTTTCTGAAAGAAGGTGGGAAACTGCAGAAAATTGTAAGAGTACAAAACCAAATTTGCTAGCAGTTCTCCCACATATCCTGTTGTACCATCCCAAAGAAGAACAGCAACTGTGGAACAGTGGAAGTAAATATAACATGGTACCATAGGACCACAGAAGGGAAATTATAAGAGGTTCTTGGAATTTGATAGCAGATGTTTGACTTAAGTTCATAAAATTGGCACAAACACCAAGAAGTAATTTAAGTAACAGGGCAATTTATATTTTCCTGTTATTTTAAGTTAAATCATATCTCTAAATATCTGTTTCTGGAAGCTGCCTTGTTGAAAGCCTTCAGAACAGATACTCAGCAAGCATGCAAGGTTTCAATACCTATGAAAAGTTACAGAAGTTGATACAGTTGGGGAAAAGGTAGGGTGAGGGACTGGAATCAGCACAAAGCTTCATATTTTTCAAAAGTAATTGTTAGAAATTAATTCAGTATAAATTTCTAACTTAGATATTATCATGTTTGCAGCTGAAACTACCAACTAAAGAAACTAATTTCTATCTGCAAATCCGTGAAGTTTAAAACAAGTGCTAGTAGTCACTGCATGATGACCCCTGATACTGAACCTACATACCAGTAAGTATCTTTGCATGCAAAGATACATCACAACCTCTGCCAGAAAATTTATATCTGTTCTTTGGAGAGGACAGGGTCCTCAACTGAATTCCTCTTTAGGAGGAATTCATGTGTGCCAGCACACCATTTGAAGCCAGGAAGCCTGAAGACTTAGTTACAATACAGTTATAAGCATACTGAAAGCAAGGGAGCCTTCAGTTTCTCCCAACTGAAGAAGGAATGATACAGAAAATTTCTAGATATTCAGACACCTACCCTAGTCATGTTTTGTTGTACTTCATTCATGAACTTCATGTTGCCTGTATTTGGAAAGCACTTTCAGATCAGGCCCTCTGGGATGCAAGCACAGAGGCTCTTCATATACAAGACCAGAGCTGGGACGATCAGCTACACCAAGGCACAAATACTTTCAGATATGTACAGCAGCAAAACCTTCTCAGGCTGTGAAGAATCTACAAACCTGAATTCAATGTAAACTGTTCTTCAGAAATCTGCATTTCATTTTCAATAGAATGAGAAGTGGGTATCCTAAATTCAACTAATCTAAACCAAGGCAACTAACTGGGGATTATATTAGAGTGAAGATAGGGTTATTTTAATTTCAGATGTGGGTTAGTGGCTCAAACTGTACACAAAATTTCACAGTAGAATTTGACTGAAACTTGGAAAAAAAGCAAGAGAAGTGAGAGTTAGAAGGGATTCATATTTGAAGAAATACAATAGCAGCCCTACCCAGATAAAAAGGCAGTGGGCAGCATGGCAGCCATTCACAGTCACATGCACAAAGAGCTATTCCAAGGAAAAAAAAAATAATTCTAACAGCGATAAAAGTATTCTCCTATTTCTAGTTAGAAATACTAAAAAGTTACAGAAATCTTGGCTATAGGTTAAATATAATAATATTTAGAGTATCTAACAATTTTGATCATTTCACAAATCCAAAAGTCTAAAATTAGTTTATATAAGGCTTCCCCCCACCCCCAAACAGTATTTGGAATTAATCCCACATGACAAAGCCAAAGCAAGTTTACAAATCAAAATACTATCAACAATTCTTCATACTCATGTTGCATCTACGAACCCTGAAATACAAAAGTCCATTCAGATACTGGCTTCTCAGACTCTGCCAATAACTGAAATTAGTTTATTTTTATGATTACATGGATTTGGATGCAGCAAGAAGACACATGAGGTCAACAACTTTTCATGAGATACTAAAACTATCAGATACATTTTTTTGTCAGTAACAAGTTGAGTCACCTTCAAAACACAGTCAGATGTTCTTCAGACACATAAAAGGAACAATCTTAGCTCCATAAAGCAATTAACAGTCATGTACAACATATTTTACAATCTCACAAATATTTCTTCAAGACTAAGAGGAACAAATGCTCTATTTTATACGTAAATATGAAGTAAATCTGTTTCTATCTTTAGTTCTCTTAATCACACTTTTATCTTTCTGCAACAAGTACTTCGCCAACTTAATTTTGCCTTCATTGCTGCTTACCTGTAAATTTTGAAATAAGCATTTCTTCTTGATATACAATCAGTAACTAGCGTTGATCTGTGACCCAGCCTAGGTATTCTCTCTTAGCACTTTTGAGATATTACTCTATAAAATTACACTGTAAAGAGAAGGCTTGCATAACTAACCAAAAGGGTTATTATAAGAGCAATTTTTTATATTTACCACTGCCAAATAAGGAGCTGAATGGTATTTCAAAAGCTTTCCACAAACAAGGGAAGCATCTCAAACTAATATTACTAAATCAATTCTGTATGCAAATGAACAAAAAACATCTCTAGCTGGCTTCTGTTGATACCATTCAGCTCTATCTGGTGACTTTCTAAACAATAACCACAACTTTCCTCCAAAACAAATTAGCAACCATGATTTTAGATCCAGTTTTTGATTTTTATACAGTTACTTTAATCAAGCTCCTTTGCTACTTTCTGAGCAAAACAAATAACGAATGCCTTCCTTTCAAGTCCAACAGATGCAATTTCTGCCTGAACAAGATCAAGGCAGTAATTTTGGATTCTAAAGCAGTGGGAACAAAGCATCCTCATAAGAAAGCAGATTATTCTAGATCTTCATTCTAATATGCAAAGCCACCACCTAGTGTTTTCTTTAATTCTAAAATTTAACTGCTAGCCATTAATTGTTCCTTTTTCCAGTTTTTAGGTTTTAACAAAAATGTAATTGAGAACACAAAATCATGATAAGAAAATCTTGCAGGTGACTAAATCAAACTAATGAAAATGAGTTGCACTTTGAGTTTATTCCAGCATATGTGCTGCTCTCTCCATGGGGAAAAGAAAACATTTAAAAGGTTATCTAATTTTGGATCAAATAGGCTTTTTGTTACAAGTCTGAAAAACCCCAAAATACATTTTTCTGTAACATCAGTGGCACATGGGGTTGAAACCAGGCTCCTCATTGCCAGAATATCAGCACAGAATGGATCATAAAACTTCAAGTCAATGACAAAGCATCTTGAAGCCTTCAGGATCCAGACAAACATTAAGAGACATGAAAATTTCTGTGTATTTCAACATTGTTTCAAGTAGGCAAAAGCACAATAGTTTGCCAAGACATATTTTAAACACAGAAGTATGCAATTTATTAGAGCACATTCTGAAAACACCTTATGTGTTTCCACCCATGAATAATCAGTCTCATCAACTTTAAAAGAATGGCACACATTAAGGTTTGAGAATCAAGGCCAATAACTATTCTACCTAATACACAGACAATTAATATATCAGCATTCTGAAAGGCATACAGGAAAGTGTTATTTACAGTCTATCTTTGGCTTAAAAGCAGTTGTAAGTGTTGTTTTTTTACTCAAGTTAATGGACCGTGTTTTGTAAGGTTTATGCAAAAACTAATTTTAAATAGACACATGCAAACTCCCAAAGTATACCATGCTCTATACAAAAGGGAGAAAACCAAATAATATCAAATTTCTCTGTTTAACATTTCATATCTGCTCAACTGTCAGCTCACAGTGGCTTAATGGGACTTTAGTAACTGTAGCATTCATCAAGGCAAGCTTTTGGACAGCATCTCACCTGGTCTCTTCATCATCCCAAGCGATTCTCATGCCTTTCCCACCACCACCTGCTGAGGCCTTGATCATGACAGGGTAGCCTAACAGCGGGGAACAATTAGACAGAAGTTCAAACTTTGTTCAGTTGGTCAGAGGAACATGACAACTGACCACATGTCCAATAATGCCAGTAGACAATAACTTCGTTTATTAAAACACTTTGTTGGGAGGGAAAGGAGAGGTTTTTCTTTTCAAGACTTGGCTGTCAGTGCGGTGATTTCCAAAGCCAAGAAAGGTTGTCGTCATTTAATTTATACAAAAAAAGCACCGAATGAATTATTCCCAAGGAACAAAGTGATTTATGAATAAAGGCATTTGACCTTTTTAAGCACACATTTCTTTAGGAACAAAATTTTGTTCCTTTGTTACTGCTGGCTGAAATAAGCCATAGCTATGATAGAATTATTAAAAAGATTACTAGCAAAAATAAGCAGAAGATCATAAACTATTACTCAAGAGATTCAGTAAGCAAATTATACCTTATCAACACTTCTAGCACAGAATTTTAAAAAACAGAGCACCTCAAAAGAGCTGTGCTGCTCAGATTTATGTAATAATAAGTATCAGAAAATAATTATTATACTTTTTTAGCAATAAAAAAGCATTTTCTCCTAAACTGACAAGCAGTAAGAAAAAGTGAGCAGCATAAATCTGACAGCATTGAACACAAGTGGTAATATTTTCTTCTCAGAACAAGACACTTTAGTATGGGTATGAGTCAGGACCTTAGTTTTCAGAATGCTAGAAAAGTACAGTATGCAGTTTAAAAGCAGATTTAGTAGTGATTGTTTATCTTGTAGTACAGTATTCTAATTCAAAGCATCTTCCTAAAACAATTTCTTATTCATAGTCATGAACTTCACCTTCCTCCCACACAAATGTACAGATATTTGAAAGTTAAGGATGTGATCAGAAATTTTTTGACGTTTCCAGGATAACAGAAAATTCATCAATCCTTTGGTCTCCAGTTTTTGTTTAATGAAAATCATAACATTAAGTCAAATATCAAACCAGTTCCTACTGACTGGCAAGAAGAGTCTATCAGTTCCTGCAAATTGAAGATACATTCTATAAAAAGGTTTGATCTGGGGACAGAAAGCAACAATTGAATATGGTTCCCAACAGAAATGGTCAAGTCTGCTATCACATATGTGTAACTAATGTTTACAGCTTCTTTCTGGAATGTAGAACTATTCTTGCTGTTAAGCAACGGTGACACAGTACACCCACCTCCTCAAAGTCATTTGACTGAAAGGAGGTTGAGAAGATAATTAAAACCAGTAAGATTTGGAAAACCTTTTGCTTAAAAAGACCAAAGTGGACACAAAAAGAGGCATGATACAAGCATAAGGAACAGAGTAGTGTTGATAAGAAGGCAAGAAAGCAGTAACAGTACAAGAGAACATTCAATTAACAAAGAAACAGCAAAAAAACCAATAAAATAATTTCTAAAATAACATGTTATTAGACTGTGGAACCACATGCTACAGAGCATTCATGTGGCTGAAAGCTGCAGAAAGGTAATAGATAAACATATGTATAACACAAATGAAGTTCCTCTAGGCAGGGATGATCAAAAAGCTAAACATCTTCATGCTTTAGAGTCTAAAGCAATCTCTAGTTACTAGGTACAAGGTGAAAGCCATGCAAATAAGTTTGCTGGAGTGTTTCTTATGTTCTCCTATGAAATATCTGCTGCTGCCCACAGAGAGGTATGGGATAAATCACAGAGTAACAGCTGGTTTGATCAGAACTATATTAAGTATATTCGATGCCTCTACAATCCCAGAGATAAAGGGGCATGTGCAAAATAACTCTAGTTTGCAAACAGTGAACAGCATGTACAACTCATTTTCATGAAATGTAGTATATGCAATATCTACACAAGTACAATTTATCTGTGCTGTAGCTACTTTTCCAGATCTCTCTCAACCATCAGGCTCCAAGATGAGTCACTGGCTATCTTGAAAGAAAAACGTACTTCTTGTATGATTTTCCTGCAAGAAAATGATATTTAATTAGGTAACACTAGTGAACTTACACCTCTGGCAATACTATCACCAGCTGGAAACTCTCCAAATCAAGAGGTTGCAAGTCTGAAATTCCCAAATAAGCATTGTTTTAAGCCTTATTATGGCAAACTCAAAATGGCAATTTCCATCACCTAATCTATCTTATTCAGTGTTACCATGTACTTGAAAAAACCACCATCGATTATGCTAACAATTTCAGCCTAGAAGTATCAGTCTCTTGAATACGTTGCTGATTTTAAATCTGTAAGCAGAATCTAGTCCTTATTTACTGGGGGTTTTTTTTGTTTCAATAGCAAAACAGATACACTGGCAGTAAGCCTTGGTGAGTCTTTATATGCTATGGAATATACAAGTTCATGTATCAACTCACATGGTTAAACTTACAGGCAAGATACATGAGTTACTGGTATCACTCACCAAGTGTGCAACACTACGTGCTCTCCGGGGCACTGAACTAAGCTAAACAGCAGCTCTTTGGCCAATGCCAAAGACTGATGTGTGCTCAGAAAAAGAAAGCTTTGTAGAATTTAAGTTTTGCAAACTCACTGGGTACAGGATGCTGGGATCAGGATGCATTACTCATCATTCTCCTAACCATTTTTGCACTATTCAGCAGCAATCAAAATTGCTGAAGTATGCTCACATGGATTGGTTGGATCAGTTGTGGGAAGGGAGAGGCATGCAAGCAATTTCTAATAGCATTTATAAGGATCCACGACAACAGAGATGAAGATTCTCACAAAGCAGGCATATTTTTAGTAGGAGTTAGGTTTTCAATCCTTTCCTTGAAGTAAACATCAATTTCAGAATAAAAACTACTCTTGTTCTACAGTTTCACATTCTCATGATACATCTGAAGGATGGGTCTAAAACAATCTTAGAAAGCTGGAAGGCAAAAAGCTGTCAAATTTGAAGATCAGCAGGCAAACTTTTGCTGTTAAATAGGTACTATTGAGTTCAGACTGCTTTGTTTCCAGAGTGGTTACTATTCTGAGAATCTGAATGGCAAAAGGAGTAAACAAAGTTGTTAGTTCCAGCCCTCTGCCACCATGGTTTTCAGTGTCATTTAACCATTTTTATCAAGTTGCAGGAAGTAGGTCTGTTCTACTTCCTGACACTTCAGAAAATGCATTGTGCAGTATCAGTTTCAGCTATGTTTCATGTGGCAATACCACATTCTTTTCAATATCCACAACTGAAAAACTAGTATTAACTAAACATATGTCAAATGAAACATGACAAAAACACATTTTTCCACCTCTTGTGTTTTGTATAGACTTTCATTTAGTTTAACTGCCTGCATTTCATACTTGTTAAATTATTTCAAACTGAAGAGTAAAACTTCCTGGAGTTTCATCGATGCTTCAGAAATCAAGAAGCCAGCTTACAACTTACAGACAGACTGAAAAGTAGCATGGGAAAAAAAAGACAGTGTGATTAAGCACTACAGAATGGATCATAAGAACAGTCCACACAAACAGAGTAGAGAGACTCTAGAAAGGAGTCTATACATCAATTTGTGCTTAAACTTCTTTCACTTCCTGATTTAGCCTAATATCTCTCTCTTGACAACTAGGGAGAACACATCTTAAATGAGGGGTAAAAGGTAGGTTTTACTCCCATACTTACAAAATTTGTATCCATAAATAATAGTCACTGCAACAGGTAAAGGCAGTGTCTCAACTCTGAAGTGCCATGTTCCCTACTACTGGATCTTTGGCCAGAACATATCAGGGAGAAGCAGGAAAAAACACAGGCAGCAAGAGAACATTACACAATGGTTTAGAGTTTTAAGCACTGACCTACAGCGCTTTTTTTTTTTAATTACTTAAGCATTCTTGGAAGACTAATGCTCTGAATAAGTGAAATTAAAAATAATCTGGAAGTATTCAATTGCATATCAAGTGCCTTATGTATATAATGCATTTGTCCTCATATAACAGACTAATTTAATTTCATCCTATTTTAGATCCTCTGAAATCACAAATAATTGTGTTTTATTCTAATCACTGGTTATGATTAGAGACAAACTTAACTAAATTGATCAACTGGTCAAAAACATGGGTAGGGAAAAAGCTAGAAAGGACATTTTTCTTTCATTACATAGCATCACAGTACAAATCTTATTTGTATCAAAATGGTTTAAGAATTTGTCATCTAGATAAAGCACCACACAGCTGTCAGTAATTGACAATTGACTTCACAGATTAAAGACTGCCTTGATATAATGACCTCCAAAAGTGCTACTGGTTTCAAAAACAGGAACCAGTCAACAGAACCCAGAAGAACTCTGAAGAAAATTAAGCAAGAAAACATTTTAAAGGGTATCTAGGAAGCCACTGAATAACTTCCAACTTACATGAATCAAAACTGCTTTAAAAATACTTGCAGGAAACCTTTAAAAAACAAGAGCAAGAAAGACTACTAAAATGAAAATGAATAGAAATAAAGTCATAATACTATGTATGCCTCTTTAAGGACTAAAACTAATTTTATTTACAGTTATCCTTCAAATATTCCAATTTGGTTGATAACCTCTTCCTTTTGTTTCTGCTCACATGACAGGGATCAGTAATCACTTCATTTCCCAACATGGACATACAGGATGACTCACAGAAACACTGACTTCAATTGTGTCAGCCTAAAAGCCAACCAAGCCTACACTGAGGGGTTTCAGGACAGTTAACTGGTGCAGGGCAAGAACCTCAATTTAGACTCAAAGTGGAAAGGTGTTACACTGATCAAAAGACATCTGCAAGTTCCAATTTCTATTTGGTATATAAGGCATAGCCATAGCTTTTTGACACAGGTGAGATGTTATTTGTGGCTAGATTAGTAAGAGAAGCTTCAAATGTAGATACATCCTTTGAAGTATGTACCTGTGATGAACTTAAATAGCTTCTCATAGCTACTGTCTCTTAAAATTAAAATAAAATTTCAAAAGAAAAAAATCAAGAAAAATCTTATCACATTAGATTCTTCTTCTAGAAAGCATTTAAGAACATGTGTAATTTCAAGCATATGGTTAAATATTTTCCCTAGCTTTAGTAAATAAAAGCTAAAACTCATTAGATACATATTACACTTAACCTTCATCAAAATGAGTCCCAGACAGTTTGCTTGTTGTTCTTTTCACCATTCTGTACGATATTCAGAAGCTGAATAGTGACTTTATTCCAGAAAGCAGAGAAGAAAGGCTGGTGGTCTGGATGGTACTCAAGCTAATTGCAGTCGACACAGTGATGAAGAATGAAGATCATAACATCACTGGTGTCAGCCTCCATATAGAGAGAAACGTTTCAAGCCTAACTTCTGACTATCATGTCCAATTGCAAATATACTTTGAAATAACTCCTTTAGCGAGTTATTCATTACTGTATATTATATGCATTCCACAAATCATGTCTGCACTTGTTCTGTAAAGTTCAGTTTCCAAAGCTAAAATGTGATGACTTAAGAGACAGGGCGTTAATTCCTAGATTCTTCCAGCCCTATAGGCAACAGGGAACTTAAAAACTATTACAACATTATTTGTTCTATCGGGATTACTTATTACACATTCAATTTAGTCAACCATGTCTGCTGAGAGGCACACAAATCCCACCATAGCTAATTTAAGAACTTACCAATTTCCCTTGCAATTCTGACAGCTTCATCTGCATCCTGTAAAAGCAGGAAATGAGACCCAACGTTAATCCCATCAGCCATTGCACTATGTCCTGAGGGCAGTCATATATTGCACTACTGTCTCCTCTGATTCATTTAATGTTTGATTTTACAACCTTCTGACCCTTTTCAGCCAAAGGAATGTAAAATTAATACCATAAGTGGAATGTAAATTCTACCTCATCATTAGTAAACTTAAACTCAAAGCAACGAGGAATCAGCTGACAGGAAACACAACCAGGATCGCAGAATGATTTTCTGCAGTTGTAGGAATTTAATGCTAGAATTTAGAAGTTTACAATCAATAATGGACCATAAATCAGATCGTTAAAGTTTGTCCACTGCCAGCCTGTTTCTGTCCTCGTAGGTATTTCTTGTGTTTTCCTAGTTGTTGTCAGTAGGGGGAGTTGATTCTCTATTGTTTAGGAGTGATTCAGGCTGAGAAAACTTGCAGAACTTCTTTGAAGACAATTTTTTTTTTCCCTACCAAAGAAAGAACACAAGCATTTCACTAAGTTTTTCATTCTAAAGACAGAATAAACCTTAAATGCATAATTTTAAACTGTACCTGAAAGAAGATTTGCGTAATTGTTTCCATTTAAGAGTCCACACATTACTAACATATGACAGTTTGAAAAAATCCTTTTGTTGATGCCACTTACTGCTTCAGGTGATTCATACCACCGCAGGTTGGTACAGAAAAAAGTACTAGGAAACCCAGAGAATAACAACCAAAATACTTGAATTGCTTACTTTTTAATAACCAAATATCTCCTCTTGCAGCAGTTAATTCTGATTTCTTCTACTGATAACAATATATTTCCACTATATTCTACTTGAAAGAAAAAGGGTTAAATTACAGTGGCACAGGTTACATTACAAAATTCCATCCGAATTTGCTAATATTTATACTATGCTGGGACATGCACTAAGACATTTGTATGGAAGGCAGTAATGTCTGGAAACCACCAGCTGCTAAGTGTGTCTGAAACTATGGGGGCTGAGTTATGAACATTAAAATGAAACCTGATATTTTTAAAGCTTTCAAGGCAATCCGTTTTAAAAGCACCCAGGTCAGAACTTTAAAAAAAATACGTAAGAAATGTTCATACCTGGTTCATTTATGTCCGATAATAAAACAAAATCCTCTTTAAAAGTCTTCAGTACCTAGTAACAGCCCCACGAAGAATAAGGGGGCTGGCAGGGGAAGTTGTCAGAAAATTTAATTTCCTTTCATTAGCTAGTCTGCTCCACAAATCGGTGCTTGTTAAGTTCAAAGCAGTCCTGAAAGCAACATCAGTTTTAAGTCTTTTTACTCCAGTCACATCTGTTAATGAGATTTTTCCAAATAACAATTGTTTTTAAGTCAAGAGATAAATCTAGCAAAAAACCTCCCCCCTCAAAAAAAAAAAAAAAAAAAAATCAGGGTTTACTGTTTTATTACACCTTGCTGCTTTCCATGACCCTGCACCCTCCAAATTTTAGCTTAAAGGGATAAAATGCATGAAAAGGGTCATTTAAGAATGTTAGTGGTTTCCACACATTGAGTTTGAAGGTTCTTTGTTCCTGCCTGTGACAGTTATGCGAGAATACTTCCCCTTAATAGCCTCTCTGTCAGGAAGTGTTAAACCTGCCAAATGCAGACAATTAGAGCCTCTTGAACAAAATGCAGGAAGAGTGATGACTGATGAAGAGCCACGATTATAGTCGAGAAGGAAACTTTTACATTTCTTTTCTCTTGCAAATTCACTCATGTATTTGCAAAATAGAATTAAGTGGGGGGAAGCAAACAGGTTCGGGGCTTTTTTTTGTTGTTTTGTTTTTTTCACTTAGTTACCTGCAAACAAGTGGCCAACTGATACAATGCAGTGCACAGGCAGACAAGCTGCAAATCATTATAGAGGAACTTTTCACAGCTACTGTATTTTTATACATGCATACAACTCTAATAAGCAGCATCATATCAGCAGCACTAATTGTCTCTGTTCTGGCTTGAAGAGACTGAAGATATCTGCCCAGAACAGTTATTAATTTGCACTATTTCAACATCTGTTTCTTTCACAGTTCTAATATCTTAGAACCCAAACTTTAAGATTAAAAAAAATAATAATAATCAATGCATATTCAAATTATTTAGCCTTCAAAGAGCATTCCTGAAATAGAAAACAAAAACATGCTGTGCTTTAAAGAGAAAAACTAATAAACAAAAAATTAATAACCAACTGACATATTGAAATCTCTGGGAAGTCTTTTAATCTTTTTCCCTAAGAAAGTATGTTTTATTATCATGCATTTCACTTGCCAATTACATAAATACAGCAGCAGTTTGAGTACTCATAAAAAGTTAGGACAGTTATTTTAGATTTTTAGTGCAAAGAACTTATGACAGCTATACAATGTTTGCCATAAGGGGGAAAAAACTGAATGCTATAATGCTGCATAACACAAAAGTTTATCTGTGCAAGATAAACACAAAACCACATTGGTACTAAAATTATTTTTTAAAAGCAAGTCTTCAATGATTTACTGTCGTTTCCTCCAAAAACAGATTAGCTACACTACCATTTTCCCAAAATAAACTGGAGATTGTAAAGGAATATATAATTTTAGCACCACCTTTTATTGTACAAATAAAAAAGTTCAAGCAATGGTACAAGTTTATAAAAGTCATAGGAGTTATAAAATTATGTTTTTACAAATGGCTGATTTCATTAAGTTAAAAGACATAAAACACTCCTTTAGCATAAGAATTTCTAACTTCCTAATTTCATGTACATGCCTCTCTGCCAGATAGCAGCAGGTGGAGACAAAAAAGCAGAACTATTTTGATGCAGAGGAATGCCAGGATAAAGCTGTTCAAGAGACTCCTAGAGCTGTAAAACTTTTCATTAATTATGAGTAACTACATAACAGTTTTGATGGCTGAGGGTGTTTGGCTTAGAGAACCTCCAGTTCACGTCTAGTCTCCAACAGCCTCTCCAGCAACACGCTGATCATTTCACATCAGTGTCAATTCCCCACTGCAAGAATACAGCCAAAACAGACACCTGAAATTTAAATACAGTAAATTCATAGCCTTGCTGAAAACCTTCAACGTGTCTACTGACACCAGTGAAACTAAACAGACATCCAGAGACGTTAATCTACGTACAGCTGTGTCCTACCAGCCATAAAACCAAAATGGCTGTACATAGTGAAATAATATAAAAATCTTTCTTACCTCACCATTCTTTTGCCAGTTTTTCAACACGACATCTCCTTTTACCCATTACTCAGCCTCCACTTTCTTCTTGTCATGTATTTGTCTTTACTCATTTACAGTCAATACATCTCAGCTCTAACTTTAGTATAGCCATTGGACTAGCACTAATCAAAATAATTAGTGTTATTTACCACTATCCCTCCCAATAAGGTTTTAGGAAAAAACTGTGCTTACAGATTTTGAAGTTAACTACCTTTAGAATGCTTTTGCTGGCTCTTTAGCTGACAACACTGGACTCGGGTTCCTTACACGTGTAGACTGGATCACCCTTGCCCCAGCCAACTGAGAAAGTGAACCACACAGAATCACAGAACGTTGGGGATTGGAAGGGACCTCGAAAGATCATCTAGTCCAACCCCCCTGCCAGAGCAGGAACCTAAATGAGATCACACAGGAAGGCATCCAGGCAGTTTTGAATGTCCCCAGAGCAGGAGTCTCCACAACCTCCCTGGGCAGCCTGTTCCAGGGCTCTGTCACCCTCACTGTAAAGAAATTTCTTCTGAAGTTTAAGTGGAACCTCCTGTGTTCCAGCTTACACCCATTGCCCCTTGTCCTACCATTGGGCATCACTGAGAAGAGCCTGGCTCCATCCTCCTGACATTTGCCCTTAACATATTTATAAACATTAATGAGGTCACCCCTCAGTCTCCTCTTCTCCAAGCTAAAGAGCCCCAGCTCCCTCAGCCTTTCCTCAGAAGGGAGATGCTCCACTCCCTTAATCATCTTGGTGGCACCAGGGATGAGAAGAAAGTTACTCTTTGTCAAACTACCCTCTCCACGTCTTTCCATTCTCAGTTTCATATTTGCTGTAGTGTTTGCCCATCTGAGAATAGGTAGTTGTGTCTGTTATGCCAAGCATCCTCTTCAGTCCTTCCAGGTCCTTAAGCATACTGTTGAAGGCCTTCCTTCTCTTACATTTCTAATTTAATCTCTATTCACTGCGAATTTTTCTGCATTCAGCTTCTCCAAGTTGTTATTACAAAAGCATCTCCAGCATCTACTATGTGTAAGTGCTAAGCAACATAAATAAGAGCGGGAAACACTTATCCTTTATTCATGAAGGACCTATATATCTACAGCACTTGTTAAAAAGTCCTGGATAAAGACAACTCTTCAAGTAACAAATATTTTCCATGCAGTCTTGAGTTGAATAACGAAACACTAGAAGCTGTTACCCTATGTTCGCTTTAACCATTCATCCAGAAAGAATACGTGCAACTGATCTTTCCTAACTTCTGGCATTGTTAGAGGCATGAATGCAGTTTTCTTCCAGCTTCATTAGAATCTACTATAGAGATGAACCTTCCTCTAATGAACTCAAGTATCAAGTAGACACTTGACTCCTTCATAGGACCTTTAACATTTTTATTTCTCAAGAAAAATAGCCCTCAAAGATTTCTGAAAGCTTCATAACTGTGACCAAAACAGGTCTCCCATAAAATAGCAGAAATCCTATACGGTCTCTAGCTCCTTGTGTGCTGCTTTTTTGATTGCACCTGGTATCACACAGTTTTGCCCTTCCTATCTTAGTCTGAATTGGCAAAACTGTACATCAAGCTCTAACCAAAGATCAGGCATCCTGTATGACCTAATGACTCAGATATTCATCCAAGCAAAAGACACATTATCACAAGAAGGAGATCAGAGGACAGAGAGACACACATATTTAGATCCATAGCAAAGATGAGAATATCACTTAACAGAAGTTTTATTTCTTAGAACTGTAACCAAAGCACTGGTCAACCTAAAGTTTTCATCTCCCCTTTCTGATGGAAACTACAACACTGGCAATATCTGTGGACTCTCCTTTTTCTTTTCTGGTTGTTACACTGCAATTTTTTATTTTTTTAAAAAAATATCACTTTCTTTTCATCAATATTCTTCATATAAACTGAACTAGTGCAAGGCTGAGGTACCTGAAATTGATATGATACAGACATTTCAGGATTACTAACTACTGCATACTTCCTTTCAATAGCTAAGGATTGCAGTTGTCAACTCAGTCCTGCATTCCAGTTCATTTGGCATTAAGACTATCGTTGCATATAGCCAATTGCCAACCAGATCACTTACGTTCTTTCACTTTGTGTCAGGAACTTCAGATAATTGTCAAAACCAGTGCAATTAACAGTCTCAAACAAGTGCATACAGTAGCTCAGTTTCACTGGTTATATGGCTATCTGTTCATTAACCACTATCCTACTTTGCCAGGTTTGTTTCTTTATATTAGCAGAATAACAATCCCTTACATAAATTTTAATTTGATACAGAGATATAACCAGCATTTTGAGTATTTGATTCTGCATTAGAAAAAGTTCTGTGGCGTTTAGATGATTAATTCAAAGTTATCTCCTAATTAGATGTTTTTCTAAAAGTTAATTTCAGGATTTCTAGAAGAGTATACAGGATATCAGACAGAACAGAGGACGTTATGCACAATAGCTTGTCTGCTTCTAAATCCTATGGGTGCTAAAGGACCACATACACAGGGACTGCTAAAACATTCAACAAAAACCTGAAGGAATGCTGTGTTCAACTTATCACTGTCAGACTTCAGCACTGCCACAAATACCAGCCTAACACTCTTACAGAACCTTCCAGAAGAGAAACAATACCTGTTGCAGCATATCCCACTGACAGGCTTTATATGCACCAGGTATTTACGTCACAAGTGCTGAAGAATTCTCTTGTGCATTTTGACTTCAGCTACGTCACTATTTTATTGTTCTCTCCCACTAGCCAAGTTCTCCAGGCATCCTCAGAGCAGATAATTTTGTAGAGGCTTAGCCCCTTTGCACTCTCTTTACCTTTTTTATTTAGTTGGGTTTGTTTTTTTTCCTGCTAACAGAGTTTAAAATCCAGCTTAGCCAACACAATGCTGAACACCATTGCCCTGGTATATGTTGCTCCTTAAAATAGTCTGCATTTCATCAATATATTCAGTTGTTCCCAATTATCTTGACATTTCCTATTTCATCACAAATAAAATCTATGATGATCAGAGGTCAATATCGATTGCCATAAGTAAAAAAAAGAAAAAGCTTTCTCCAACTATATTAAAGCGTTGTTGAAAAACTTTTCACTTTTTCATGCAACTCAAAGTTTTACTCTGATTTTATTTGAAAAATCTAACTTGACATGTCAAGCATAAAAAATTTCAACCCAGGAGGTCAACATTCTATAATACGAAGTTTTATGTTGTCAGACCACCACAGCTATATACAATGAAGGTTTTAAAAGAATAAAGCTTATTTACCTAGATTAACACAGACAATATACTAAGACACACGGGAAAGCTTTTAAGAGCCCAATACTTGATCACTATCACAGAAAATAAACCAAATCATACTTTGTTTCACCTTACAAAATATAAAGAAACAACAAAAATATTTTTAGAAAACTGTTGGCAATCATTCCTTCCAAAACCCCAGGAAGAACACTAGATTCAGACAAAGAGCCACCAATTTCCCCCCACCTTCACCCCAAGATTTGCAACCCATGGAAATCTTCACCATCAGCGCAGACCATAAAATGGAAACTTCATACAGTGTAACAAACTTCACTGCTACCTTAGAGCTGTCAAGATCTCAGCCAACAAGAAGTAAAGACCTGAGAAATGTAAAGACTCGTGCAGATAGTCAAATCCACACCTGATATTTAAGACATTTACCTGCCTTCACGTTGAGTTTAAAGCAAAACACTTAGATAGTCCACAGAAGCAGTCCTTAATACATCATTTATTATGAATTACTTTCTCCTCTTCTCCAAAACTCTCTTGCTACTAGAAATCTGTACTGCATTTTTTAATTACATCTTATTAAAAAATAAGTTGAAATTATAATTAACATTCTGCATCAGACCTTCAGTAGGTGTACTTCAATTTAGACACTGTTCCTACAGTGGGCAAACAGTAATGAGATTATTTCTCACCTTGACTACTCCATCAAAGCCAGGGATTGTGTTGACCTTTGCATTCTTGGCTAATAATTTGCTTTCAATCTTGTCTCCCATAGCTTGAATAGCATGTGTGTCAGGTCCAATGAAGGTGACACCTTCTGATGCCTGCAAAGACAATGAAGATACAACTTTAGGAGACAAGGAGGCTTTACACAGGTATTGATATTAATTTTTTTTCTCTTTTTGAACGGATTAATGAAACATTTAGAAGATAGTGGTCTGTTTATGTTACAGCCTAGCAATATATAAGCAGCATTTCAGCCAGTTCATTACAAATGTGTATGACCTTGTGAAACTATGTATACACACAGATTCAAAGCCCCTATAATTAGCATTTGTATAAATCAAAGCCAGGCCAAAGTGAAAAGGCTGAAAGCAGAAGTACTCCAGTGTGAAAGTTAGAAATACCCCTTGAGAAAACAGAGGCTAGTTAACTCACCATTGAAAAAGCCACAATTGATTTGCAAAGATATGCTTGCTAAACTGTAATGCAGCTGAAAATTCCATTATGCATCCTAAAACAAAACCTTGATGAAACATCAAAATGAAAGTACAGTCTCTTACTCAACATATTAAAAGATCTTGAAAATACGGCGACAAGTGAAATAATGTTTCCCCAATTCTTTCAGGCAACTCTCTTTTCCGATACTAATGTGGAAATAGGTTAACAAAAAATACTTTAATACTTCAATTTTAATACTTCAGTACATAGGTAGAACACTGAATTACATTTGTCTCCCTCCTATTTCTCTATGCCAGCAATACACTGCAGTAATTAAGTATGCAGAGGTTTTTTCAAACCTCTCCCAGGTCAGTACTCTGAAGAGCTAAAGGCAATTCTATCAGAACTCTTTCACTGGAAGTTACTCGTTCATCAGTGAGTACACACATGTTTCAGGAAACTTGACCTCTTTTGCATCATAGGAAAAAACATCAAAAGAATAAGCATACTAGCCTTGCATAATTTTTTCCAACTGTTTCTTTTTTTTCTCCAATTCTAAGACACCTGTAAAATGTTTATAAGCAACTTGTTTCCAGCCAATGGGCAATTGACTTAACACTAACACAATGACAAACGTTCAATTTCTTGTATCAGAATTTGTGTTTTAACATTTTGTCTTTCCAACGTACACTTGTGCTGCCGATGTCAGGGTTGCCATAGTTATGGTCACTAACAATAAAAAGTAATTTGCTGAAGCTTTGTGTATTTATGATGGTAGTACATGACCACAGAACAGACAGATAAAAAAAATATGGTTTTTTTAAGTGGGGGAACAATGTCCTCTTATTCATAATCTGTAAGAGCTGAGAGCTCCAAACATGCTTGGGAGCCACTGTCTCCACTGTCAGCAGCTTCCTGGCAGGAAGAGTTTAATAGCAGAAGCTCTGGGTAGACAACTTCCTATCATCCCCGCTAACAGGGTGCTACAGATAACAGAGAAAAGACCAGAGAACTATTACAGACACACTAGGAAGCTCAGTGCAAAGACACCCTAGCCAAATGCAGAGCATCAGTTCAGCTACATCAAAGGCTTGTCAGCTTCAGCTCACAATGAGCCATCTGGGTTTTTATCTCAGCCCACCTCTTTCCTACTACAGCAGATGACTTCGCTCTGCGACTCAGTAATACTGACTTGATGAACAGCTGCCTTACCAACACAAGTTGGGAAGACTGCAAAAGGAGGGAGCAGGAAACAGGAACACCGACAGGAGGGTGCAGACCTATTAGTATTTAGTGTTTATATCCTTTGGCACTACAAGGAATTCACTTTTTAAAGGAGAAGAGAAACAAGGAGTTTGTTTGAAATCATAGTGACACAAAGTTTGTAGCTGATCATTTCAGAAACAACAGCAGATTAGTCTGAAAACTGACACTTTATTGCCTCTTAACAAGATAGTTTTAAATAGGTGCCTGCATACACCTGAAGGTAGGGTAGAGAGTTCCCTTCCATTATCAGACTGTATTCCAATCTTAAAAAGCTTTGTGGAAAAGGTTCACTTACAGGCAGTTTCGGCCATAACATTGTCATGTCATTTGCATCGTGATCAATGCCACTTTAAACGTCATTATGTATTGTTTTCTCTCCCCACTCTCTTCTCAAAGTCTGTCATCAAAAATATGGAATCTCCAGACACCACGATAGTGGGTCCAAAACTTTTGCTGCCCTGACAGACTAAGACTTCCAGCTTCCAGTCTATTTCCAATACTCTATTCTTACACTATTTCTCTTCCTACTCTGACTTTCTTCTGTCAGAAAATAAGAAAAACTTCATTCAAATTGGAGGTCACAGGAGAGGATGGGAATTATGTTTACGTAGAGCTGTAATATTCCACATGGATACAACCAATACTACTTATTAAAAATTAATTACTAGATGATGTGCAGCAGATTCACATCAACTAATGCAAATACCACCTGGTGCAACCTGTACCTTTGTGGGTTTTTTAAATGTTCAGAATTCACAAACTGCACTTGTCTACACAAGCACCTCAGCTGTAACTGCTCTTAACCTTTGCACTTTACACAGAACTGCACTTTAATTGTGAGAAAGTAGAAATTCAATATCACCCCTCTATGGTTAGTCAATTGAGGCAGTCATGACATCCAGTTATTGCTCAGCAACAGAATCTGAAACAAAACAGCTTCATTCAATGTGATATCACAAGATACCCAAAAATCACATAACTCAGCACGTTGCAGCATCCATAAATCAAAAATAAGTTAACAAACCAAGGCGGATCCACTAGTTTCCAGCCAACATGTCAAACCATCTCTTACACAGAAGAGGTGTGCATTCTCCAACATGACTTGCAGCCAACTTTAGCTAAGCCCACAAAAGACTTCGTCAGCTTAAGGCACTACTAGACAAACTCTTGCAAGTCTTGCCAAAATAATTTAAGTTCCCATCACTCAGAAATGCTTGTTTGAGCCACAGCTTCTCAGCTCACCACCAGAAAAGTGCTCCAGCTTCTTCATTGTCAATACTCACACATAACCTACTGACCTGTTCAAAACTCTAGTGCCCAATACTGAAAATGCCAAAAATAGATCATAAGAAAGAATGTGGCAGTAACACCCTCAGCTCCCACAAAGACTTATCAGCACTCATCCATTAGCATCCTTAGTTTATGAAACACACAGAAGCGGCGAAACTGTGCCAGAAAAACTTCCAGTGCCTGATGACAGTCTGTCCACATACAGATTTGCAAGTGGAGCAGTAAGCATGGGAACCTCTGCTAGATGTACACAAGCTTACACACTGCCTATCAAACAAGTTCTTCTGATATTCAGTTACTCTTCCACATGTTCAGCAACATACTCTAGCCTCGTAGACTAATTATCTGGCTGCAGGGAACATACCAATTTTGACCATAAGCATGCACCAGCATTTTCTTCAGAAACAAACCTGTGATACCTACTATGTATCACTGCTCTACTTTACGTAGTCAAAGGTACAAACAGTAAGGAAAATGTTATAAAAAACCTCAGAATACAGTCCATGCCCAGAAAGTTAGTTCTGCTTTTGATTTAAAAGTAGATACTGAAGAGTTTCACCCAACACCTCTCTGTTTTTGAGAGCAGCAATAGTTGGTTTAATTGCAGTGCCATAATAATCACAAGTAGTTCATTCTCTTTCCCCACTTTTTTTTTTAAGCCAGACAAAAGCCCTACTTTACCTCCAGGGAACACAGGACCCCAAATAAAGCAAAAACTAAACAATGTCAGAGTAGGACAAGCAAAGGCAAAACTTGGAAAATCCATTTAGGAAGTCAGTGGTTAAGCTGTATGAGACCTTCACAGTCTGTCAACTGTGTCTGACTGCTCTAGGAACAGAGTGGGCCCGACAGACCTATGCTAGTGTAAATGGCCATACTCCCAATGTTTGGAAAGGGCCTGCCCACCTGACAGCTCCTGGGGAGCTGAGGTAACTGAAGACACTGATCCTCAAAGAAGAGATTCCTTTGCACGTCCTCCTGGAAATGAGGAATGTAGGGATTCACAATTACTGTACTACACAGTCAGTAGTGGATTCAGCCTCAGTGACAGCATAAGCAGAACTAAAGACAGAAAGCATGAAGAAAGGAAACTGCATAATGAACTTCTAGACACACTAGCTTCCTTGGCAACACACTCTTCTGTGGGCTTATGAATATGTGGCAAACCAGCCAACTCGCTGCCAGGCCTCCCAGCACTGCAGGAAATGACTGAACAGTTCCAACCCAGCTTTACACAAAACAAGTGATACTAAAACTTTTCCTCTGTCTTTTAGTACGTTAGTTATGGACAATTAAACACACTTTTTAGTGTCCTCATTCGAGCCAAGATATTTGAATCTGCACACAACACCAGCTTAACATGAGCAGCTCCAACCAACAAGGAGGTACACCATGTACAAAAAAATAGCTATCAAGACTTGTGTTTGCTCTTTCAGGATCACTTGGTGAGGGGATTCTTCCACCCACAGCACACTGATGTGGCAAAGCACACTCCAAGTGCCCAGCTGCTTCCAGATGCAAGAGTCCCTACAATTATCTTACTACACAGAAGCAATGACAGTAATGCAGGCTTTGTACTTGTTCATTCCCTGGGACCTGGAATGGTTAGCTATAGAAAGATTTTTCCTATCTCTGAGGAAGAAATGGCTGATAGATCTCAGGAACAATTGTAGCTGCTCTACCTTATTGAAAACAAACCTTCCTATCTAAACACAAAGCTAGTTTTAAACAAACTCCAGAAATTTACAAAAGCAAATCGATCTGTCACATGCAGCCATCAGGTCATATATTCTCAAACTCAGACTTCCATTTGATTTTTTTCAAGCTTACCCAAATTCAAGCTGCTGCTTATTAGAAGACAGTAAGAGTAATTCACTGAGCAGAAAAGGGCTCAAGCCCAGCAGGGTTAGGCTCAGAGCCTGCAGTATGTCAAGAGTGACCAGAGAAGCAGTTGAGACAGCCTAGTTGCTTTTCCCCCATTGTCTCTCCTTCCTCTCCCACACATCCCTTCCCACAGTCCTATCTGTCCCCCTTCTCTAGGGCAAGGTCTGGCACTCCTCAGTTGACCAGCATGGCAGGCAATGGCCTGGGTTTTTGAGAGAAGTGT